GGCTCTGGCGATCCTTCCGCCTCAGCCTTCCAAGTAGCTGGAACTACAGGCGCCCGCTACCACGCCCGGCTAATTTTTGATTTTTTGTAGAGATGAGGGCTCGCCAAGTTGCCCAGGCAGGTCTTGAACCCGTGGGCTCAGGCAATCCATTCACCTCAGCCTCCCAAAGCGCAGGATTACAGGCTGAGCCTCCGAGCCTGGCTTGAGTTTAAATTTAAAAATATGTTTGAGAGGTGTTTTGAAGCAGAATGACTTTAGAGGACCTCAAAATAAAACAGGCCACCTTGATCTGGACAACTGGCCCTAATGATCAGATTATTATTATTTTTTATTCTGGCCCCATCAATCCCAGACATATGCATAACTGGCTCAGTAGAATCAAAGTGTTAGGTATCTAAGTTTATTAGAAGCTCAAAAAAATACAATTTCCAATTTTTTAAAAAAACAATCCTTTAACATTTTCTCAGGTTGGTCAGAGCTTACATTTGAAACCTGATTTTTAAATTTCAATGTAGTAACTAACAGACTGACCACATTCCTGGAAAATCTCAGCAAGGCATGGACACCTCCTCAAACCTAGCTGCAACGAGACAGTGCCGAGATCCCTGAGCAACGATGCAGACTTCTAGGCCTGGTCTCCTCCTCAGCATCTGGGGACAAGGCACAGAGTTTCCTAAGCTTGCTTCTCTCCCTTTCCAGCACACACTGGCTAACAAGCTTTCTGCTTGCCTCTCTTTATAGTGACTACGTTATAATAGCCCCCGTGTCCATGTCCGACTTAAGCCCTATATTTTGTAAAAATGGAAATGACTGGAAAGGAAAAGCCCCACTATAGGAGGCTAAAATGTGAATGTAGCAATCTCTTCCACCAGACTACTACCATACAATTTCATAAGCATTCCAAGTAGAAGTAATTGACATTCCTTTTGTGTTTGAACTTTCACTCACTTCTCTCAAATTCTTCAATCTATCATAAAGCAAGTTTGAAAATCTTCACGTAACACTTCATTGGTGGACTCACACCCAACAAATTAACAATTGCAAAAGGATTCCCTTGATGAAATTACAAGCGTGGAAGATTTGAAATAGGAAAAGTTAAACCCTGATACAGTATTAAACTTATCTTTTAACATATAAAAATAATACACAGTGGGATATTTTATTCAATAAGATACAATCTTTAAGATCAAGAGAGAATATACAAAACTATTCTATGTAGTCTGATGTATTTTACTGTATAGTAGGAATAAGTATATCTAGAACAGAAAGTGCGAGGTCTGTTCCTAGAAAAATTACCAGTAACTTAGTATAGTATAAACAGAACACTGATTACACATCAGTGTTCTACAGATACTTGGCAGAAAGGAGCTACTGTCGCATTTAAAACAATGTGGTCATTATAAAGTAAAGGCCTTAGGTCTATAAACAATAACAAAAACACACAAACCAAATGAAAATGTACTAAAATTTAATCATCCATAAAAGCTGTAATTTAATCTGACAGTAAAACACGAGAAGCAATATTAGAGTTGGTTTAGTATATTATATATTTTAGCTTTGAAAGCCATAGAAATCAGTTATCCCAGTTTTTTTCCTATAAAAGACCCATTTTTTCCAAAGCATTATGCACAAACAATTTTAATTAGAATATAATGACAGATGATATTTCATAATTTTTTAAATATAAAATGAAGTCAATGACTCAAAAAAGTTATCTGCTGCAATGAGTTTGAGGGGAAACTTCATAATCTATATCATTACAGATATAAAGTATTATGGTTCAACTTTTTAGTGCTTGACGGGGAGGAATCATGATAAAAAGGTCAATATGAAATCATTTGATTATAGTAGCAATATCTAACATTTGAAATGCATCCATGCTCTTTTGTATAATCATATTAGAGTCAAGTATATTTATTTTCACATCTGTTATAACTGCTATTGCAAAGGAGAAATACTATTGTCTTATTTTCCAAGAGATATACACAGAGCAAATTTTTTCTCCAGGGAACTTGTGCAAACCAATACAAGATCTAAATTCTTCACATAATATATAAAACAGGAGAAGCCTCTTCAGATTTTTTTTTGAAGTCTGGAATGCTGGCACTTTCCAATTAGGCAACAGTTCTTCATTCCTGTAATCTAGGATATTGAACAGATACAGATGTACATATATATATGATTAGTCTCTTGATATCAGAAGATAGTAGTAAACAAGCAGATATCCAATAATAAAAAAAGAAACTATGGTTTTGGCTGATTGCTACTTGAGAACTAAATTATACTAAATAGCTACAGTAACCGGGCTATTTTAAATTCTTTTAAAATATTAAAAAACAATCAAATATAGAAGACTGAGTTCGCACAAGGGAAGTCTATACTTGACCAATTTTAGCTATCCTCAGTTTTGTTATACTTAGTATTTCCCACTATATCCAATGGTCCTGCCTGTAAAGAGGACCAATAGTGATTTTCATTTTTATCCCATTATCATCTTATATTTACCTTCCTTTTCCACTAAAGAAACGACACCTACCCACGGGACATTCTTTATGTAACTATCGTATGATTTTATATATATTAGGATGACCATTTCTACTACAGGTTAAGGCCAGGGATGATACAGAAAAAGCTGATCCCCATATGCACAGGCAGAAGAAATGAACTCAGCCTTACTGTCAACAGAAGAGAATTAGGTCTTAAAGGAGGAATTCCTGATGATGAATTTCTCTCAGAGGTCTTTAAAGATGGGACATATAAAAGAGATTACCATGTTTCAATACCATTTTGACAAAAGGCTACTGATAAGCTGCCCTTAATGTTCACGTACTCCTACTAATAACACTTACAACTGCATTTAAATTCTCCCTGTCTCTCAGTACTTTTAAAAAGATAAGACCAACATGGCACTTCAAGTCTAAAACCACAATAAAATGCACTGCAGGTAGTTTGATTGCTAAGTCATCTATTATTTGGTATTATCAAACATCCACCAGAGATCCCAGGTGCCTTAAGTTTATTGTTAGCTGAATTACATATCAGAGTCTAAGAATTTACACAACTAGAATGAAAGTCTTACTTCTAGATCTAGGCCAAGATACATCTCCTCTAAGGTAAAACTCCTAATATACTGTCACATTGTTGGGTGTGTATGAGTGGATTTTAAAAATCACAAGAAGCCAGGAGATGGCAGCTTTTCCTTTAAACATAAACTGAAATGATATTTTCTGGGAATCAGAAATTAAACAAGGGCCAGTCAAGGCAATAGTGTCAGCGAGCCAGTCACCTACAGCAGAGTTAAATAATGTAGTGCTTAAGAACCAGAGTCCTCATTTTCCCTCCCTCTGCACCCTGACCTAAACAAGTACAAACACAATCATCGGTCACTTTCAGGGAACTGATGACGTAAAGTTCCTGAATTAAGATTTCCCTAAAGGCTTAGCAATCATTTAGCCAGAAGCTGTCCTTCCTAAGTCTGACTACCGGAGACAACCCCTATGTCATTTTCTCCTTTCTGCCCATTGTACTCTACGTGCCTTCATTTTAAAAGGGGGTACAGTTGCCCAGTTGTTTTCCTTGAGAGAGTCGTTCACATCTCTAGGGAAGCACATATGAGTTAACTTGGACTCTGGAAGGGATAATCTACTAAATGGCCCCAGGAGACCGCCAAGAGTTAGTGCAACCAGCTCCCAAGTGGGGAGAAGAGCTGTCGCTCCTCTAACCAGACCAAGTTTAGTAAAGATCATATAATTACCATTAAATTTCATCATCAATCTACTCCACAAAAATATCCTTCTATGGTATTATTTATGGAATTGCAGTAGAAAATGTTCGGAGGACTTAAACACATAATTAGAGAAAAACAAATAGTCTCCACAGGGCCTGGCTTCTCTCCTGACAGGCAACTTAAATGCTGCCATTCACTTCTTTCCTATGGAGCCACTTAATGGAAACTACAGCGGTGCCTGAAGTCAGTTACTACTCAGAAACCTACGGATGACAGCTTCATTCTGAAAGAAGTTGACTCGTACCCAAGAAGAAGTGATGTCAAACATTACAAGGATACACCACCACACCAGGACGGCTCATGACAAGACTGACATTAGCAATCTGGGGGAGGATGTGAGCTCACAAACTGTTGGTGGGTGTGTAAACGGGCCCAACTACTTTGGAAAGCTCTTTGGCGGTATCTACTGACATTGTCCAGATGTGTAGTATATGATCTGGCCATTCTACTCCTAGAGACAGACCTGACGGAACTGCATGCACATGTGCCCAGAGACATACATGGAATGTGCACAGCAGTATTATCCATACTCATTCCCCAAAATAAAGAACCCAAATAAACACTAACAGCAAAATATATACATATATTACCAGCACAGTCATATAATACAAATGAACTACTGCTATGTGCAACATGGGTAATTCTCAAAAACATATATATTTTTTTCCTATTTTGAGTTAAGATCTCACTCCATCACCCAGGCTGGAGTGCAGTGGCACAATCATGGCTCACCAGTCTCAACCTTTTGGACTCAGGTGATCCTTCTGTCTCAGGCTCCCAAGTAGCTGGGACTACAGGCACACACCACCATGCCTGGCTAATTTTTTGACTATTTTTTGTAGAGATGAGGTCTTGTTGTGTTGCCTAGGCTGATCTTGAACTCCTGAGAGTTTGTTTGTTTATTTATTTTGAATTGAAGTCTCACTCTGTCACCCAGGCTGGAGTGCCATGGCACATTCATGGCCACTCCAGCATTGAACTGCTGGGCTCCGGCGATCCTTCCACTTCAGCCTTCCAAGTAGCTGGAACTACAGGCGTAAGCTACCACACCCGACTAATTTTTTATTTTATTGTAGAGACGAGGTCTCACCAAGTTGCTCATGCTGGTCTCAAACCTGTGGGCTCAGGCAATCTACTCGCTTCGGCCTCCCAAAGTGCTGGGATTATAGGCTGAGCCACTGAGCCTGGCTAAAAACATATTTTTAATATAAAAAGTCAGACATATATTACATGTTTTTGTTTATGTAATGTTCAAAGAGGCAAAACTACTTCATGTATTAGAAATCAGACAGAGGTAAGGAGGATTGACTCCTGTTGATATATGTGGGTGTGCTCACTTTGGGATAACTCACCAAGAATCCATTCAACCACTATTTTTTGTATACAAAAAGCTCAGAATCTCAGGGGAAGAGAGCTAGTTATCCAACAGATAAACACACTGCAAGTTACACATCACATTTACAACTTACAGAAGCTCAGAAATACCCGAGTGGGTGAAACGAGAAGTGACTGAAGTTTGGAAAAACCCAAAGTGAAAGGACAAGAAAGGCATCTGTTCTGCTTTTAGCATCTTACCTGGCTCAGAGCTGCTGCTGACTATGGGCCTAGAGCAGCAGACATGATTTCTTTTTAGGCTTCTTCTTTTCCACTGGTGTTTTTCTATTTATCTGTCTGACCAGGTCATAAAATATCTAAGTAAAAACAAGAAAAAAGTACTTATTCAACTAATTTTTTGAGACCTTGTTTCACAAAACAATTCTGCTAAATATGATTCTGCTCCCAGATTTGTATTTTGCTGCTTTGTTTTAAAATCAGTTTTCTTTGACGCCCCAGCTAACTCTCAGGCAGAGTAAGGCAGGACTTACCTACTTATAACAAAGGGAATACCCTTGCTCTTGTTCAGTGTCAAGAAAAAGAATCGGTAGTGAAAACTTCAAATTTACAGAAAAGTTGCAAAAATAGTACCAAGAGCTTCTATATTCTTCCCAGATTCACCAATTGGTAACATTTTGCCACTTTACCATTTCTCTCCACACACACACACATTTTCTGAACCAATTGACAGTAGTCTGCATACTATAGGTGGCTTAATACTTAAGCTGTGGCTGGGTACAGTGGCTCACGGCTGTAATCCCAGAGTTTTGGGAGGCAGAGGCCGGAGGACTGTCTTGAGTCCAAGGATTTGAGATCAGCCCGGACAACTTGGTAAGATTTCATCTCTACAATAAATCACAAAATTAGCTGGGCATGGTGTAGTTCCAGCTACTTGGAAGGCTGAAGTGGAAGTATTGCCTGAGCCCAGGAGGTTGAGGTTGGGGTAGCCGTGATCATCCCACTGCACTCCAGCCTGGGTGACAGAGTGAGACTCGAACTCAAAATAAATAAACATAAAGAAAAAGCTGAGCCATGTAAGCATCAATACATTACTTTATACTATCTACAATGCAAATTCCAATTTTGTCAATTGCTTCAACAATGTCCTTTATAGTAACTTTCCCCTCCAGGGACAGGATCCATCTAGGATCACACACTGCATTTTTATTTCCATCACGTTAGACTTTTAAAATCTGAAACAGTTCCTTGGCCTTTGTCTTTCAGGATATTGTCATTTCTAAAAAACAAGGGTCAGTAATGTTATAGAATTTCTCTCAATTTGAGTTTGTCTGATATTTCCTCATAGTTAGATTCAAGTTACATATTTTTGGCTGGAACAGAACAAAAGAGATACCATATTCCTATGAAGGTATCACACACAGAGGCTCATGGTTTTTTTCCCTTTTAGGTGATATTAATTTTGGTTAAAGTTAATATTAACTTCATAAAAACAGAAACAGTTTGCTGATAATTGATTTGAAGTGATAAACAGTATCTGTTAATCTTTTGGATTCATTTTTGGATAAAAAGTGCAAAGTATCAAAGACAAAAAAACGATGCTACTTATTTCACAAAAGCAGATTAATTCTGATTTTTTAAAATATAGTTTCATAGTGCTAAGTATGTCAAAATGTTAAAACATGATATAGATCAGCTGAATATGGGTCCTTGCTATTAAATGCAAGAACTAATTTACTAATGGCCTGAAATAAAAACAAATATTGAAGTTTCTTACTGATACTTATCTGGAATAAATAGTGCTTTGCAGAAATAGATTTAAAATGCTTTAAGAAGCATTATAAGGACAACGACAAAATCTGAATATATACCAAACACAAACTGTGTCAAAGTCAATTTTTTGGATTCCAATAATTATGTCATGATAGTTTTATATGAGATTACAAGTACTAAAATATTTAGGAGTAAAGTATGATTTCTGAAAATACGTGGCAAAATGTTAATAACTGATGAGAGGTAAACAGAATTTTTAATTGTTCTTACATCTTTTGAGTAAACTTTTAAAGTAAAATATTTTTTAAAAAATCGGTCTACATTTATTTTAAAATAGACAGTAACCAATTGTATTTTAAGGTGATAAACAATTATCTGTCTACTTTTTAAAATGGTTCAATGATCTTAATAAATTAACTGTTCAATGAAAAAAAATAAAAACACTGATTTATCTAAAAGCTATAAAAGTGATTTATTTATGTTCCTTTATTTCTGCTCCATCCTCTCTATTCCCATTTTTTCCACATCATTTAACTATTATCTTATTTCTAAAAAAAAGTCTGAAAATAAAACTTATGAACAAAAGGGTAGTTTCTGTTTCTTTTTTTTTTTTTTGGAGTTGGAATCTCACTCTGTCGCCCAGACTGGAGTACAGTGGCACGCTCCCGGTCACCGCAGCCTCGATCTGCTGGGCGCCGGCGATCCTTCCACCTTAGCCTTCCAAGTAGCTGGAACTACAGGCGCGCACTACCACGCCCGACTATAGTTTCTGTTTCACAACTCCAAAGTTCAAGCTGTCCCACAATTCGGAAGCCTTCAATAACTCAGTGAGCTCCCATTAGCTCCCCAGGCTCAATGCATGGTAATAATATAAAAAATAATAAAAAGGTAAATTCAAACAGTAAGTTAATCAAAACTACATGTAGTTTCTATTTCAGTTTCTTCATGCTAGCCGGTTTCCAGTTTCTGGTACTATACAGAAAGGCAACTGATTTTTGTAGTATTATTCTAAATTATTTCTTTGGAAAACATTGCCTACCTCACAGCTGCAGATGGGTCAGTGATGAGGGCAAGTTCAAACTATAATATTTGGTTAGAAATGCTGAAAGTCCCCAGCCTAGGTTCGTCCTCATCTCTCTGAACTACAGAAAAATCTAAAGGGAACACAGAATAGAGTTCTCAATCCCTCTCCCATTCCTAAACTGGGATCTCTTGATTCCAATTATTATTCCAGCCTCAGCAAAGAACAATTCATTCTTTATAAAGACTGGTGTGACTCTGGTAGAGTCATGTACTAGCAAAAGTGGTGTGAATGAGAGTTTTAAAAATTATGCATTTATATTTATATTTATATACATCAGAGAATTAAAGGGATCTTTAGCCAAGCAATATATCCTTATCGGTTTTCAAATTTGAGGCCAAGAGTTGAATTCTGTAAAAGTATCCCTCTCTCTTTGGGCATTCAAAAATCACAAAAACAGTTACAAAGCAAAAGGAGAAACTATTAACTATCAGAGGAATCCTGTAATTGGATTATTAGACTATAAAGAGAAATATTAAAATAAATTCAAATTATTATATTCAAGAATTGAGCACAAAGTTTGTACGTTTTTCAAAAAAGTGAAGATTTTTAAGATGGCTAATGCGTTTCATTTTGTTCTGTTGGTTTTCTATGTCTGTTTTATAAACCCTGGTGTCAAGGGTTGACTTTAACAAGATTGCCATGAAAACGTAGCTCTGCTGCATTGGAAACTTAAACCCAGAGGAGCTTTAGTAGCATGAAGGTTCCCACAAACATGAGATGCACTGTGCTCTGGCTTCCAAAGGGAAAGGTCCCAGGCACCGGATGTCGCCCAAGCCAGCCCCGGCTGAGCCTGATGAACTTGGAGGGGAAGGACAGGAACAGCAAGGAAGCGCATCCCCAAGGCCAACCATCTTGCAGATGGTGACCTCACACCACGATTCCACCAGCCAATCACATTCACCAACTCTAGCACGTCCTTTATCAAAATCCCCTTTTACTTTCATTGTTGTTGAAGACCTAGCAGGACTTAGTCCCCAGCATGATGTCAACTTCTTTGGGAGCAGGAATAGAGTCTGTCTAGGTTACCTGGGTGCCAGAAAAAGTGCAGACATATACTAGGTACTCAGTAAATATTTGCTGAATAAATAAAATTTATAAATTTCTTGTTCTGATGTACTTGTTAAAAATGGCTTCATCTAAAAAAGCTTTAGCATTCTTATTTGTAAAATATAGGATTTGGAGCAAGCATAACTTTTTTTTCTGTCTCGTGTCTAAAGTAATTTGGTCATTTTAAAAGTCAGAAAATAGTCTATACGCAGAATATTAGTTAAGGGAAAATGACCTACAGAACCACAGGCCAGAGAGAAACAGCAAGCAAAAGCCACAGGCCCCTTGATAATCTAACCCATTCACTCTCACCTACATGTAAGTGACCTAAATTCTGACTGACTACCTGTAACGCTACAAATGGTGAGTGCATGGGCAAGGGCAAGGGCAAGTTAAGGAAAGAAGCCCGTTCTGCATTTTAAAAAGGCTCATGGTAAAGTTAACAAAAGCAAGGGAACCTCTTAAGTTTGACTAGAGGGGGCGACTGTAACTGCACTAGTGTTTTAGGGCCCAGTAAACCACAGACCCTCCTTTATACCCGGGCATGCAGCTTACTTGCTAAGTATTCCTGTCCATGCCTACGTTGTCAAGAAAGTGGAGTGTTTAATTCAGGGACAAAAATCTTAAAAAATAAAAATTTTTAAAAAGCCTGTGTCCCCACTGCACAGGCCTAAAGGACTGAGTGAATTCCAAGTACTCATCCATATTCCACAGATAACTTCCTTTGGGTTAAGCCCCAAAGGCGAGGCAAGCCTCAAACACTAAGTTCAGTGATATCCATGAAGGCAGTAACATCTTTCTGTATAACAAGCTCATTATAATAACCACTTTCACTTTTTACTTTTCTACTTGACTTTACAACCCGTTTATACATATCTGGATAAATAATTGTTACAATAGAAGGGTGATGTAGTAGTCTTCACACCACTTCACAGCATATCACTCGGAGGCTGATCTTACACAAATTTTTAAATTTTAACTTCCTCTTTGACAACAGGGTAAATCTGAGTGTCCGTACTACAGCCATCAAAGCGAAGTGATTGTGCAGATGGAGAAATACGGTTTCCAGGAATTACTTCGAGCTGTCTAGGAGGTGACAGGAGGAAGATTACTTAAAAGAACACACATTTTTCTCAAAAGATGCTGGCTGTCGAGAGCAAAGGAAACCACAAAGGCACTTGTTTGTGCAGCCCGGCAGCTGTGGGTACCTCGTTAACGTTGATCTTTGATTTTGCAGAAGACTCTAAAAAGGCACAGCTACACCACTGTCTAGCCAAATTCTGGCCCTGTTCTTTGCCAACTACGCGCTCGTCTTCCAGGTCACATTTGTTGCCGACCAAAATCATTGGAACCTGTGGGAAGGAGGAAGCATAAAATGAGCAGTAACACACTCGACACTAGGCTCTTTTTTCCTGCCACCAACTAACAGGCATTAGTTAGGACTGGAAGCTTCGCCACGTGCTAACAAAAAGCCTAGGTATGTGTGCTGGGGGGAAGGTGACGGGAGAGCGAAAAGACAAAAAAACATGGAACAAACCTTACCACATACACATGCTGAACTATTCTAAGAATGTAACCCTAAAATACTCGTGTGGATGACTGCTAATAGCTGAATTTCAAATAGAAAAATCTGAAGGCAAGGACCCTCGTGCAATTCAGACAAGAATAAACTTTAGGGTCTCACTGCTTCTGGTGCTTCAGCTCACAGGCCTGACAAATGCCAAGAGCAGAGGCAAGACCACTACCGTAACAGGTTCTGCTCCCACATTTGACATCTCCTCAGGGCGAGATGTGGAGGACGGTTCACAATAAAAATAATGCCACAAAGCAGTTATGTCTTCCCCATTTCTGCATACCAAAGATGCTTTGCTCTATCTATTCACAACTCTCTACTTCCAGTCAAACAGGTAGCTAACAAACCATATTCACATCCTTAGTTAAAAGGTGTCCAGAGCACAGTCATTTGTTTGAGGTGTTGGACACTATAAAAAAGAAAGGATTTAAGGAACACTGTGAACCTTTGACCTAAAACAGGCAATTATCATGAGTTAGATTAAACACAGTAGGCGCCTACAACTTTAAATTTTTTAGTTTATTACATGGGATAAAATAATTAACAATATCAGAGCTCAATTACATGCACATGATTGCCTATAAAAATAGAATTCTCTTAGATAAATTAGTCACAGGAAGGAAAAAAATCATTCATTAGGTAACAGTTGGTTACGAGTCATAGAGTTTAAATCTCTCCTACCTACATTATTATCCAAAGTTAAGGTGCTGAACAGATTTACATGCTCCCATTAATAATTAGAGAGAACACACAAAAACAGAAAGAAAGGTGCAACTGAAACGTTATGTCCTAATTTGCACAACTGAAAAAGAACTCGCTATGGTTCAAAACTGAGGTAAATGTATAAAGTATACATTTTGTTTTGCAAAAGGAAAAAGACACACACACCAACAAATATGACAAGATTTCTAAAACACAATTTTTAAAAATCCAGTTAATTAAAATCTTTAACATAATTCAAAGGAAAAAACTGCACAGAAGTAAAAATTATACCAATAGAACTTTGAAAATAGGAACATACTATTATGGCTCTTAATAATGTTCTTTGAACACAGTTTCTGATGTAACTACCACCTTTCAAGGCTCAGCTGAGTCCCACTTCTATGAAGTATTCTTGGACTCCTCTTTTTTCTCTACTGCACTTTTTAGTCACATATCGCAATGAGTACTTTATCACGTCTTCAGCTCTAAACGTATAAGCCTATAATTTGTAGGCTAATTTCAAAGGTTAAACATTTTTCTGATCACAGGGGCTCCTTTAGGCATTAATAAATCCTCTACTTCTGAATCTTCTACTGACAGAGAAAACAGACTATTTTAAATTTGGCCACAGAGCGATGGTAGAATGTCATATGGAGAGAAAAATACTTACATCTTCTGTGTCCTTAACCCGTAAAATCTGTTCCCTCAGGTCTTGTAAGTCATTAAACGTGGACTGAGCTGTAATAGAATATACTAGTGCAAACCCTTGGCCATTCTTCATATACAAATCCCTCATTGCTGTAAATTGCTCCTATAATAAAAAATAAGCAATTATAAATATTCTTGAATGTATGTTGGAACAATTTAAAACAGAATATTCATGAGTAAACTACTACATTTTTTATTGCATGTGATCATGACAGAAAACAAAACATAATATAGTTTCTAGCAACTCTGAAGTGATTAGAAACAATGACAATGAATTGCAGAATCAGAGGGAACGCTTAACCATCTTAGTTTGCTTTCTATAATTTAGAAGAACTGTATGATTCTTTCTTAATATACACATCTAATTAATTTTGATCCTGATTTAATTTTATTTGTACATTTATGACACAACTGCGGGCCCAAGTGGAAACAGCCTGAGGTATAAACTCAGTACTGAACTATGACTTAATCATCCAGGACTGACAGCCTCAATATCTCCACAGGCAGCTATTATCATCCAGATAATCAAGAATCTCTTTTTATAAAAGCTTGTTCATGTGTTTTTATCTTCCCCTCATTTCAAACCTTCAAGGAGATGTGAGACCAGCGTGATGATGACAACCCATACTCTGCAGTGAGATTTACTCACTGTTAATGTCTAGTCACTGAGCTTTGGTCATATCAGATTAAAATGATTTCTGTTTTAATTTAAAGCCCACTCCCTCTTATCTGGTGATAATCATTACTGTACACTATAACTACAGATATTAATACTAGACAAAATCCAATCTTAAAAGATTGGGGATTTTATATATAGTATTTAAAACGCACCAATAGTAGAATATTAAACATGTGTATATCTTGGGTTTTTATGTATTTCAATCTTTGCACCTCTTCGGGCATTAACATGTAATAAGGCCCAAATCCACAGGGATCTTCGGCCTTGTCTGCCTTGTGTCCCTGGCTCCCCACATCACTGAATTTTGTCTACCACATCTACAACAGTGGTGGTCATTCCAACTGGGCTGTTGTACTCTTTTTTTGCATTCTAGGAAGTCAGCTGGGCTACCACTCAGTCATTTCCTCAGTTTCAAATTCTAGTGCCATAGGAACATGGTTGCGTGTCAGTCTATGCCACTGCCAGTATATTTCTGGGAAAGTGTAAAAATGGTGCTTTCCTGGATTTTTCATTTACAAACTCTGTATATTCCAGGACAGCACCTTTGTGGAACTAATTAAATGCTGACACTGTCCAAATGCTTAATTATATAATAAATGAATTCACTTACAAATATAAGTGTTACAAATACTAGCAATACTATACCCTATCATGTTCTCTTGAGATCATGGTCTCTGCTTCTTATTAAATCAAAAAAGTAAACGCATAGGCAACCTCCCACTGAGAATGCCGATCTCCTCCTCAAGGACATTCTACAAAATTCATCCATCTCACACATCCACTGAAGGCCAGCTACATGCAAGTCAATACAAGACACAAACCCACTGCCTTGGAAGAGTGTACATGGAGGCAGACACCTACAAAGTACGCCAGATGGTAATGAATGTTATAGAGAAAAGTAAAGAGGGGATGGAGAGGATAGGGAGTTTCTTTTGAGGGTGGGACAGAAAGCTGTATTTTAAAAGACTATGCCCAGGGAAGCCCTCGCGGGTAGCATCTGAGTAAGGATCTGAAGGAGGTGAGGAGGAAGCTCTGTGGTTCTGTGGCGTGAGAGTATCCAGGTCAAGGAAACAGCAGATGACAAGGCCAGAAGGGAAGCACACTGAGAGTGTATGAGAAGCTGTAAGGAGACCAGACTCATCCCAACAGTCTCAACTAGAGGTTAAGTACAGGGGGTGAGGCCAGAGGGAACGGCGAGGGGGTGATTATCATGTAGAACTGACAGGCAAACGTCATAAAGACTTAGGCTTTTACTCCAGTTGCACACATAATTTAGGCTGAGGAAGACATGATCTTACATTTACATGGGATTATCGTGGTTACTGTATTGAGAATAGTCTCAACTAGGGTCAAGAACAGAAACAGACCAGTTTTGAGGTTACTAAAATAATCCAGGTGAGAGACAAAAACTATTTAGATCAAGGTAGCATCATCAGATTCTAGTGGTAGTGGTTGAGTTCTGGGTAAGTTTTGAAAGTACAGCCAAGAGGATTTACTGAAAGCTTGGATGTACAGAGAATATAACAAGAGAGTCAAGGATGACTCAAAGGTTTCAAGCAAACTCCAAGGGTATTATTTACTGAGACGGGAAAGACTCAGGCTGGGGAAGGTATCAGGAGTTTAGTATGGACATGTTATGTTTGAAATGCTCATTAGAATACAAGAAGAGATACAGAACAGACAGACATAGGAGCCTAAAGTTTAGAAAAGATTTCAAGGATGGTGGTACTAAAGGAGATCTCCAAAGCAGTTTGCTAGAAAGAGAGATCAAAGTATTAAATATTGAGGCCCTCTAACATGAAGAGGTTGAGGAGATAAAGAGGAATTAGGGAAGGAGATTAGGAGGAACCAGTGAGAAAAGAAAACCAGGCATATGTTGTTTCCTGCAAGGCAAGTGAATAAAGGCTTCGTGGTAGAGGAGAGCAGTCAGCTAAGTCAAGGGTGCTGAAAAGTCAGGAAAGTTGAGGATATATGCCAAGAGAATGATCATGAATGACAGACTGTGGACTTAAAGCTATGTGCAGAGGGGACTGAAGATATAAGGGATAACAAAAAGATGTTGTAGCATAAATGAACTGAGGTTTCAGTGAAGCTGAGGGGCATTGAAGGAAGTATGATGGATAAACAAGGGACGGTGGCTGGAGAGTAGGGTGCTTGGAAGTGAGATGAGGGCAGCCTTACATTTACTGGCAATTACACAGTTTTGCAAAGCCCTGTATGATTAGGGACAGGAGGACGGAGATCAAGGAGCTCACTGGCCAGAGTACTAGGACAGCTACAAAACCCATAGAGATTCTATTAGGACAGTAAAATCACCAGGAATTCTGACCAAAGCAGTGTTGGAGAGAGTGAGCAAAAATCTTCAAAAACAATTAAGAGTCTGGGGCAAGATTAATAAGCATCAGCTACTTCCTAAGTTTTATGCAAGATACAGACAAGCAAATGCAATTCTAATACAGTGCGCTGAGTGCTAGGATAGGAGATGCACAAGACACTGGAGAGTACGCAGGAGGGATTTCTGTAGCAGAGAACTTCCTTTTTATAAATGGACAGAGGAAGACGAAAACTTGCCCGCACACTGTATGTGTGTGTGGGGGTGGGGGGGGAAAGAAGTGGAAAGTATTCTTTTTAGCCACTGGATTTTCTAAAACAAAGAAGGATTTCACTGATTCAGAAACTAAGAAAATTAAATTGGGAGCATGGAGGAGGGGGTAGAGGGAGAGACCTCATAATTCAGCTGATATAAGAAAGGTGTAGTTCTAGCGAGCCAAAGCTCTCTAACATTAAAGATCCATTTTCCCACAAAAGAATGAAAACATAATTACCACTGTATTGTTGTATATAGTCGCTCCAGTCTGCTTATAGGCTTTTCAAAATTATCTGAAACTTTCTCATCATTTATACAAATTATAGTGGAAAAATTTGAGCTGAATTTTAAACAACTTATAATACTTAAGAATACCATCCATTTTAAGCTGGAAATTGTCTAACGTGAAAAGTCTATGCATATGGAGGAAAAAAAAGGAAAAAGCAAAAATTGCTTAATGTATGCATTTTGTGTGGATAACTGTAAATCATCAGTTATTAATTTAAAAAATTATAAAGGTGATGGTATTAATGAAGACAGTAAGATACAGCAAATACACAGATTCCACACTATGTAGCAGACACTGTGCCAAGTGATTTATAATCATTATCTCCTATGGTAATTATAAGCACCCTGGGATACACTAATGTCATTATACTAATTTATAGTTAAGAAAAATGCAGTTGAAAATAATCCTAAAGATTTTTGCCTTCCTCAGAAAACATGTATCACCAGCCCCTTGAGATGTTAAAATGCCAGTGAAAAGAAAAAATCATTTTTATAAAAATGAGTGACTATGGTGCCAAGAGACAAAGTCTTATTTGAACCACAGAAATACCTACAATAACTAAAATTCTGGACTTAAAATAACTTTATTTCAAAAATAGCACCAGTAACATAATCCTCACAATACAGGAAGAAGAAACACAACAATAGACTCTGCAGGTGAACTCAATATACAATCCGTGATATGTGAGACTAAGCCCATCACAGCAGATTTCCTTGTTTTTCTTTATCAGTCTTCATGCTTAACATCACAGTTGATTCCATATGCAGAAGAAAATGTAAGAAGCCCTACATTCCGAGGATTTGCTCTTAATCACAATGGTTACTTTTATTCAGAAGAATTATTCAGATGACAAAACTTACAAATCTTAAAATCGACTTAAACTCTAACAAAAAAAAAGTAGAGAGAGAGAGAAAAAACAGCCTTACTGTCCCTGCTGTATCCAGAATTTCGAGCATACACTGCTGGCAATCTACTTCAACTTGCTGTGGGGGTGAAAAAAGAGAAAAGTACCATCAAGTGTTATTCCATTTTCTTCCCACCTCTCCTACCGGTGTACCAATCAACAACCACGAGGCTTTTCTCTCGCAGTTCGCCGGACTGGCTGGGAGGAAACCTGCTACCACAATAAAGAAGAGGGGCCTTCAGCACAGTCTATGACTATTCTATAAGACAGGATGGTTCATGCTGAGTTCAGACAGTTTTCTGACCATTGTAAGGATTCTCATTTGTTCTTTTTAAAGGCAAAAAGTCATATTTTATAATTTAAGAAAATTTGGGCCGGGCTCGGTGGCTCAGCCTGTAATCCCAGCACTTTGGGAGCCTGAGGCGAGTGGATTGCCTAAGCCCATGGGTTAGAGACCAGCCTGGGGAACTTGGTGAGACCTCGTCTCTATGATAAAATAAAAAATTAGCCGGGCGTGGTAGCGCACACCTGTAGTTTCAGCTACTTGGTAGGCTGAGGCGGAACGATCACCGGAGCCCAGCAGGTCACCACTGGGGTGGCTGTGAGCGTGCCACTGCACTCTAGCCTGGGCGATGGAGTGAGATTCTAGCTCAAAAAAAAAAAAAAAAGAAAGAAAGAAAAGAAAATTTGCAGCAAACAAGTATAGTTGTAACAAAAAAATGTATATAAATATGTATATATCATCAGAGAAAACAAAGTATAAAAATATTAAATGGCTCAAAATGCACACAAAAATATTTTTGGGGGTAAAGAAAATTTTGCCAATATACCATGTTCAAGTTGAAAAATTTTACTAAAATATTCACAAAATTTAACACACAGTAAAATTTGAACTTAAGACATAAAGGAAACAGAGAAGTGCTAAAATAAACAGCACTGAGCTTACACGGTCTTCAGGACTTTAAGAAAAAGGAACCTCTTTAGAAAAGTTCTATGTAAAAGGTAGAACTTTATACACTGCGCTCCATTTTCCTGTTTTATAAAAGAAGAGACAATTGGCCTAAAAAAGTATCAACTATCAACTGTGTGGAAAACCTAATAAAGATGCAATTAAGAAAAGCTAGTCCTTCAGCAGTTTAGATATAGACATTGCTTTACAGTTAGAGTTTTAACTAGCAACTTATTTGGGGGAAGTTTCAATAAAGCAACCCTGTCTTCGAATTAAATGTGTTAACCTAAGGACTGCTTTAAACTGCTTCTGTGTTCGATCAGGCAGTGATGAGGAGAACCTCTGGTACGGCCACAAACTTGTCACCTCGCCACTTATGGGACAATTACAGTAACCTACGAAATCTGGAACTGGGCATGTTCAATGAATAATCAGTCTATGGTTTCTCAATGTAACTAGAGCACAATTTTGTTTCCAATTTGAAGACAGTGAAACTGCTCTGCCACTATTGTCTGATGAACTAACTTAATTCAACGAAAGTTACATAGGGCAGATTCTAAAAATATCTTTAAAAAGCAATCCTTTCCTATTAAAGGTAAGTTTAATTTTTTTTAAATTATTTTTAAAATATACCCTTGGCTTGGTCTTTTATAACACTGTCTTTTTCCCTCTCAATATACTTGGGAAATAAAATCATGAAAAATGTCCACAATTATACCTAGTCTTAAATAAAATATTGTTTTTTGTCAAGACCAATTATCTAGTTTTTTCCTTTTAAGGAGATTTTATTAGAGCAGTTTTAGGTTCACAGACAAACTGAAGGAAGGTACAGAGATTGCCCATGCACTGTTACAACTAATGAAGCTACATGTCATAACATTATCACTAAAAGTCCATAGTTTACATGAGGATTCGCTTTTGGTATTGTACAAAAGCATGACATGAATCCCCATGACAGTATCACAAAGAATCTAACTCTAATTTTTCTGTAGTCTAAAGATGAAATATCTTTAAAGTTATTACATAATTAAACAAAATATAGACTTTCAGTCATTGGATATATTCAAGCAAAAAGGTGATCTTAATTGTTGACAACAAAGAGTAGTTAAAAATATACCTGCTATTTATGTGCATCTTTCTTCTGTATTAAAAAAAAAAGTCCCCACCAGGAAATGTATAAATTAGAAAACAAACTGCTAATCAGTAACAGAGCATGGAGTTCCCTATACCTAAGTGCATTCTGTAAGAAATAGTCTGGTCGGGCTCGGTGGCTCAGCCTGTAATCCCAGCACTTTGGGAGGCCGAGGTGAGTCGATTGTCTGAGCCCGTGGGTTCGAGACCCGCCTGGGCAACTTGGCGAGACCTCATCTCTACAACAAATCAAAAATTAGCCGGGTGTGGTGGCACGCGCCTGTAGTTTCAGCTACTTGGAAGGCTGAGGCAGAAGGATCACCGGAACACAGCAGGTTGAGGCTGCGGTGGCCGGGAGCGGCCATTGCACTACAGTCTGGGTGACAGAGTGAGACTCCAACTCAAAAAAAAAAAAAAAAGAAAAAGAAATAGTCTGTCTCTGTGAAACTTTTTAAAACAGATGTAGTACATTTGTATTAAGCCTCAAAACTATTTTGAAAAAACAATTCCATGAATCAAATTTTTATAAAGAGCTATGTGTATACAAGTTTCACATTTTACCTTTCTGTAGGAGTCTTCTATCGTTGGGTCATACTTTTCAACAAAAATTCCCTGAACAAACTGAACTGTCTGGAGGGAAGAAAAGAGAGAAAAGTTAAGGACTTAAAAGAAAAAAAAAAACCTCAAGCCCTCTTGCACATTACTTAACCTCACAAAGATTAAAGATTAAATAAAATTACGTGAAAATTCTGGGGAAACACAACAATGTAAAGTATCATTATTATCTTTCAATATAAAGACACATCCATAACTAAGAGTACACTTATTAATATTACAAAAAGAGGTGGTAGTGTTCAAAACTATCATCGATACTGGGGCAGACACCACTACATTGTTAAATAATTATTTTATTAAGCTTTAAAATATGAGGATACAAATAACATACATTTGACTTTATTAAAAAATGAAAAATTACCAATATTTAAACCCCTACCACTCCTTTATGTAGCTATCATAACTTTTACCCCAGGCCCTCAATGGAGAGACAAAGTTCTAAAATTTTTTTTTAGAGATGGGGTCTTGCTATGTTGCCTAGGCTGGACTCAAACAATCTTCCTGCTTCAGACTTCCAAGTAGCTGGGACTACAGGTGGTACCAGGCTTCAGTTTTTTTGTTTGAGTCTTTCTAAGTTTGGGTGAAAAGACAAAAGGGAATGTAAGTGAATGGCTATTATGCACCAGACACTGAGGTAATCACTTTTAATTTATAATTACATCCAAATTTCACATTCACCCTAGAAATAGTTATTTTCCCCATCTGTCGGCTGAGATTCAAACAGAAAAGGGGTGATCCAGAAAAACCCAGAATTATCCTCTGGTGGGCAGAACCCTTGTATATAGACTTTCCCAGCAAGGTTAGTGTTCTTGGAACCCATCGACATCAATGTACTAGCTAGCGTGAGAGGCTGCGTTCAGCTTCAGTGATTTTTTTTGGAGATTCTTTCAACACATTTGCTCATTGTATGATGGGTGATTTACATGTGAACCAGCTCACACCAGGCTGAGTGTTCAGCAGTTTTTGACCAAAAACAACCTCCGACTCCCACCCTCCCTATTCACCTGATCTTGCCCCAAGCGACCTTTTTTTGTTTCCCCAGATGAAAAAATTCTCAAAAGGAAATGTTTTGCCCATAAAGGAAGAGGTAAAACAGAAAACAGCAGAAATACTTCTAGCATCAAAATCGATGCATTCAAAAACTGTTTTGAGCAGTGGAAAAAGCGTCTCCATAGGTGTATTGCATCAAATGGCGAGTACTTTGAAGGTGACTGAAGTTTCAACATGCAAGAATACACAGTTTTTTATAAGTAAATTACAGTTTTGGAGGGCCCCCCCATACATCTTCCAGATTCCAAAGCCTTGCTCTTTCCATTGGAAAACAATGCCTACTCATCTTTTTCAGATATTACCTTTTATCTCTAAGATATGCATAAGCACAAACTAGAAACAACAAAAAAGAAGTATAGAAGATGTTTGTAAAATACGCTACAGACAGCTTTAAACCCAGGGCCTGATACATTATTGCCTAAAAGCAAGGGTAAGAATATGGATTGAGGTCCTCTACAATTAAATTACTCAGAAATATTTTATATACTGTTTTAGCTTGAACTAAAAAAATTAACTTGAATATAGTAAACTTGAAACTTCTTTCTCCTAATGATGTTTACCAAGGATTTAATTGCTTCATCTTCGAAGTATGGCCATGATTTAAATATAAAAAGCAGTCTAATACAAATATGGCTTCCTAATATGCTTTAGACTAGAGCAGAGGTTCTCCAAACATGGTCCAAGGCAGAGGATCCCTGAGGCCAAACTATTTTCCTAATAAGACTGAGATATACTCTCCTTCTCTTGGAAGTGTACAGTGGAGCTTTCCAAAGTGTATAGAACCCGTGCTATGGGAAGAGACTGGATGTAGACGCAGACATGAGAACCCAAGCGGCTTCTCTAAGACCTGCAAAAATGCAGGACAATCCCAGGTTTCTTATTTCTTTCCTGCTACATGTCAGGGTTCCCTGCTCCTCTGAACCAACCTTCTCTCAATTCCCAGGATATCTCTTATTCACAGATTCCAACTGTAGTCCTGTGGTGTTTGTGCTGCATCCCACCTCTCCTCCTCTGTTGAATTAGCGTGTGTGTGCTGTTATCTCCAGCATACAAACTGCTCTACTGTCTCCAACCCCCCCCCAAAATCAAAACCTCCCATAAGCCTATGAGCCTCCAGCTTCTGTCCCCTTCTCTGTTCACTCTCATAAGCAAGTCTCTTCAACTGCCTGTATTCCATCTGGTCGGCTCGCATCTACCCAACCAAGCCCAGTGTGGTCATGGCCCCCGATACCTGACTGAAGCTCCATCATCTCTTTCCTCTTTTGTACTTGAATTCTGAGCAGTCAAGAAAGACACATTCTTGACATTCAAGCAAAAAACACATTTTTCTATGCTGGATCCTCCAACACTATATACCTACTCTCTAAAGACTAAGAGGCACTCAGAGCTCAGTCCTGGCTCGTCCCTTTCTAGTCTCTCCCTAGATAATCTCATTCAATCCTTTAAGGACTTTTTCACCCAGGGAGACAAAAAAAAGTCACTCAGGCCAGGCATGGTGGCTCGTGCCTGTAATCCCAGCACTTTCTGAGGCCAAGAAGGAGAACTGCCTGAGCCCAGGGGTTCGAGACCAGCCTGGGCCACTTGGCGAGACCTCATCGCTACCATAAATCAAAAAATTAGCCAGGCGTGATAGTGTATGCCTATAGTTCCACCTACTCAGAAGGCAGGCAGAAGGATCACCTGAGTCCAGCAGGTCGAGGCTGTGGTGGCTGTGAGTGTGCCACTGCACACCAGCCTGGGCGACAGAGTCAGACTCTGACTCAAAAAAAAAGTCACTCAGGATGAAAACAGGTGAATGGGGAGGGTGAGGCATGGGGTCATGCTGGTTTGGATCAAAAACTGTTGATGCTCAGTGCAGTGGGGTGGGCGCATTGTCACAGTGGAAGGACCAGTCACCTGTGTGCCACAACTCAGGACATTTCTTCTGCAAATCGTGATGCAGCCTTCTCAAAACTTCCAGATTAAAAACTTTGGTTAACTGCTTGATACAGAGGAATAAATTCCAAGTACACTATGGGGCCCATCCTCCAAAAGATAATTGAAAGATAATCTGAAAGTGTTTTGGGGTCTCCTCGCATACACTTCTAACAGTAATGTATTCTCATAAAATTAATACCAGTGATATATTGAGGACACCCAAAGTCATATTACAGGCCTTTCTTTTAAGTTCTTATCTTGAAGATACATTTGTTTGATATATTTACTCGAGCATCTCACAATCACACAACATTTGACACGATTCTTTGATTTTGACTCTCACTGCTCACCCTCGTGTTTCCCTTCTCTTTTTATCCATCCATAAAATTAGTAGATCAAACTCAGTAGACTTGAGTCTTGACAGCTCCTTCCCTCCTGGTCCCCAGATGAGTCCAGCACTAAGTAATGCTGGTTCTGCCACCCGTCTCCAGCCACCTCCTTTTCTCTCCTTCACTGCCGTGGCCCTAATCCACGTTCCCATAACAGCAACCTCGTGTACCACAGCAGGTCCCACGTGTCTCCCACATCTGCTCGGTCATTCTTCTGGATTACTCTGTGCTTTTCTCTCAGAGCATCTCTCTCACAATTATAATCAAGTGGTTCTTTGTTTCCTGATGTATTTATTACATCTCCTCTACTATAATGTAAGCTCCATGACACACTGCAACTGTTTTTGTTTACTATTGTGACCCTAGGATCTGACATTTTAGATCCTCAATAATTACTGATCCTCAATAATTATTTACTAAGTAAATACAGCACATACACAAAACATAACTGTTCTTCCACGTAAGTCTGAGGTGGAGGCAGGGGAGGAATCATCCCACTAAAATCTATAATAATCAGTTTCTCCCATAGAAATGTAAATTCCTTAAAAATGAGAACAATCCCATTCCTCTTTGACTCATGAACAGTGGTGCTTGACATAAGGTTGCCAATAAACATTTGGTAAATGAAAGAATAAATGAGCCAACATTACAAAACTATCCATCTGTGGTTACCAAATGACCTCCTGTCCCTTGTGGACCAGATACCTGATATACAAAAATAAGTCACCTTTTCTCTCTGGTGACTAGAAGTCTGAAAGTTAGCAAATGCCCACGCTCTCTTATTTTACACTATGAGCTCTACCAGGTCAACTCACCAGAGCAGACTTCCCCACGCCCCCCGAACCGAGGACCACCAGCTTGTACTCGCGCATGATGAGGTCTGTTTAAATACTGATGATCTGAAAACAAAAAACAAAGACATTAAGAACAACCTAAGAATGTACATCCATTACACCAAACATGGCATTTTCCCCTTAAGACTGTTAAGGAGACAGCAGAGGTTGTACAGCAAAAGCCAAGTGGATGTTACCATAAATTCAGAGGGTTTTCCAGACCCCCGAACTCAGGACAGTCATCTTTGACCAGGCATCACTTATCAGTCCAGCCTGTCCGTACTGCCTCTAAGAGTGCTTGAACAGAAGACAACATAATTAAAACCAATGGCTGCCTTATAACTATAATCATTAACCCAATTATTTGCAAAGCTATCATTTACACCACATCTACTTTGTTTTAAAGGTTCAGTTATGAGCTTTCATACAACGTACTTGCTTTTATTTGCTGAAAATATCCTACAGTAATTCTGTACTACTTCGCCAAATCACTTCAGATGTCACCTTGAAATGCATTAGGATGTGAACAGGATATCAAATGACACAAACTCTATAAGCAGGTATTAGCAAAAGGCCCCAAGTGCTAAAGAAAAGAAAAGGAATATAAACTTTATTTTTTAACTCCATGATTATCTTAAAAGGTAAAAAGAGAGGTGATAATTTCTAGTGGCTATGATGGAGTAACTAGAAATATTTTTCATTCCACAGTAACAGCTTAAACACTGAACAAAAAATATGAAACTGTTTTCAGACACTGGACAACAAGCAGTGTAACTTCTGAGAGATGCAAAAGAAATGAAGTGATACCTATAACTGCCCTGGCTTTCTGCCTGGAGGCACGAACAAAGAATTCAAGCAGAGCTTGGAAGTCTACCAAAAGAGTAGGAACTATGCACAGAAAATTCCAGAAATCTGCATAGAAATCCACTTGAATCTGTGGCCAAGCACTAAGCTAGGCACATAGATCATAACTCCACAAGGTAAGGAAAAGAATAAATGGAGATAAACAGGAAGAACAATTCCCAGAGTTCATATGATTCTGATAGAGAAGTCTTCCTTGTTGAAGAACCAGGAATTCACTAGAAATCTCAGAAGATTAATGCCTTCATAGAGCTAAACTAGCCCTAGAGTAAATGATACTACAGAGGCTTCCTAACAAAGCTCAAGACAAGCCTAGAGTTGATCCACATGCAACTCAACTACCTGTCAGAACAAAGACCAGAATTTTCTATAAGAAGCAAAAAAAAAAAAAAAACCCAGAACCCAACAATATAAAATCAACAACGTCCAGCATTCAATCTAAAATTAATAGCTATAAGAAGAAAGTGTAACCTGAAACTAGAGTGAAATAAATCAACTGAAACAGTCCCCAAAATGAAATGATGAAATTAGTCAGAGGACTCTAAAACTGCTATTATAAATATGCTTAAGGATTTAAAGGAAAAAAGATAATAAGAAAAGAAATGGTAGACATAAGAAAAAGAACTTGAGCCAGGCGCAGTGGTTCATGCCTATAATCCCAGCACTCTGGGAGGCCGAGGAGAGAGGATTGCCTGAGCCCATGGGTTCAAGACCGCTGGGGTAACTTAGTGAGACCTCATCTCTACAATAAATCAAAAATATTAGCTGGGCATGGTGGTGCGTGCCTGTAGTTCCAGCTACTTGGAAGGCTGAGGCGGAAGAATCACCTGAGTCCAGCAGGTCAAGGCTGTGGTGGCCGTGAGCATGCCACTGCACTCCAGCCTGAGTGACAAGAGTGAGACTCCAACTCAAAAAAAAAAGAAAAGAAAAAGAAAAAGAACTTTCAGGATTCCAAAACAATTATCTTAAATGGAAATATCACTGGATGGGACTAACAGTATATTCAATATTGCAGAAAAATCAGAGCATCTTAAGACACAGCAATAGAAAGTATCCAAACTGGAACATAGTTAAAAGGTGACTAGAATAAGGGGGAGAAAAGAGGAAGGGAGAGAAGAGAGTGGGTGGATGGCTGGGGGTGGAGGGTGACAAGAAAGAAGAAAAAAAGAAAAGGAAAAGAAGAAAGTGACTAGAACTACAAGACAATATCAGGCCATCTATATCTATCTATCTGTCTATCTATCTGATAAAAAAAAACTACACACCCACCGATCCAAGAAACTCAATGAGCCCTTTTCTTATGGAACACAGAGAAAACCACAGCAAGATACAATAAGCAAACTCCTGAGAAGCTGTCAAAAGAGAAAACCTTACAAGAAGCTGGAGGAAAAAAGTTTAGATAGGAACAGGTTTAGTTGGGAACAAAGTTGAGAAAATATGCAGACTTATTATGAAGTTATGCAGGACAGAAGAAAATGGAAAAGTATCTTTAAAATGCTTAAGAAAAAAAATGGACCAGGAACAGTGGCTTATGACTGTAATCCCCGCACTTAGGGAGGCCAAGGCAGGAAGACTGCCTGAGTCCAGTAGTTCAAGACAAGCCTGGGTCACATAGCCATACCTCAACTCTACAAAAAATGATGAAAAAATTAGTCAGGTGTAGTGGCTACGTGCCTATAGTCCCAGCTACTCGGGAGGCTGGGTTGGAAGGATCACCTGAGTTCAGGAGGTTGAGGCTGTGGTGAGCCATAATCACACCAACGCACTCCAGCCTGAGTGACAGAGCGAGATTCTTTCTCTAAAAAAAGAAAACAATGGTCAACCTAGAACTGTAGGTTGTGCTGTGGTCTCTTGGATCATCTGGACAAGGAACAGAGGCCGGCACCAACTTGCCACCCATCTTAGTTAGCCACCTTTGAAGCATATCCTGCAGTTTCAGTCAGGCCTTAATAAAAATGATTACAGCCTCATGAGAGATCAATAGCCAGCCCCTTTCAACCAAGCCACTCTCAAATCCCTGACCCACAGAAACTGGGAGACAGCAAATGATTATTGCTGTTTTAAATCAGTAAGATTGGGGTTAATCTGTTATGTGGCAACAGATCATTAATACAGGGACAGAAGTAATTCAATATGCAGAAGACATTAATTTTCAACAGGTCAAGCTGGAACAAGTTGGAAAAAAAAAAAGAGTGAAATTTCAACCTTTATCTTTGTTCATAATAACCAAAAGTTAGAAACAATGCAAGCATCCATCAAGAGATGAACAAATAAATAAACTGTATATCCAATTAAAGGAATTCTATTCAGTAATGAATGTAAGGAACAAACTACTTGCAACATGGATGGATCTCAAAAGCATGCTCAGTAAAATACGCCAGACAAAACTAAACTCTAGTGACAGAAAGCTGCTTGGGGCCACAGTGGTGACACAAGGGTGATGGCTCCAAAGGAGCACAAGGGTGAAGAAAATGACCCGTATCACGACTGCGGTGCTAGCAACATATAATCAAAACGTATTGAACTGTACCTTTAAAATAAGTATTTTACTACCTGTAAATTACTACATGCAAATCGAACATCCAGAGTATCTCCTAGGTACCAGTTCAGGACGAGGGGCCAGGGAAATAAAAATGAAAAGTACATGTGTCCCACTCTCAAGGAGCTTAAAAAGGAGAGAGAGATAACTACAGTATCATGTGAATAAAGTTAATACAGAGACAAAATTAAAGGACTGAGGAGGGGTAGAGTACAGGATAGTTTTTCAGTTCTGTCTAGCTGAGATGCAGTGGGCATTCCAAGCAAAGGAAATGATTAAAGCAGATACAAAAAACATTAAATACAGAACACCCGGAGAATGAATACCACATAGCTCAGTGTGGCTGGCTATAGGCAGGGTTTAAAAAGAAGGTATGAAAGATGAAGCAGGGTATGCACACTGGGTCACACTTGCAAAGGCACTTACTATGTTAAGAGTTTACATCTAGCCGGGCTCGGTGGCTCAGCCTGTAATCCCGTGCCTTTGGGAGGCTGAGGTGAGTGGATTGCCTGAGCCCGCGGGTTCG